AGACCCTCAGTAGAGCCGACTCTGTGTGATGTACTAAACCTCCTCTGAATTTTCTGAATCTTTTACTATTTCTGATGAATTCCCATCATTCTTTGAAATTGTTACAAAAGCTACAGAATCAACCAAATTGTATCACTTTGATAAAATGAACAGGAACAACGTAGCTCCTTTTTCTCATCTGCCGGTTTTTATTTTCACTCACCAGACATGTAAATGGGGTCATAACCCTGTTCACAGCTGCCCTCATGATCCTTGTTCCATCTGAATTCACAAGTATGGTTTATAACATCTTTCGTAAACATGGAGGCTCTATGAAATCCTCCAGCTGGTGTTTATAGATCCTGGTTGTGTGTCGCTTGTATTTTTAGTGGAGTTTAACAAACACTGATCAGACATCAACAAAGAGCATGCACAAGCAATGACGGCTGTTTAAAACTGTGTTTAAACAACAGACTGCTGATATTAAGGTGTCAGTTTACAGAAATGCTTCGGAGTTCAAGGCAACACTTATTTCTAAGAAGCTAAACAAAAAAGTTGAATTGATAAAGTTGGTTTTAGGATGCAGAGTTTGCCAGTTGTAACTTTTTAGATACCATCTGGTTACTCAGTTATTTATCCAAATCTCCACACACTTACCTTCGGACTCAAGTCTAAGACAGCTAAGGGAAGTATGACTGAATACGTTAGCTTCACTCTGAGAATGAACTCTTTCTCTAAGCTTTTCTTTAGGTTTCCACTCCTGGTCATGAGACTAAATCAGTCCTATTAGGTACAGATTGTGAAACTCCATGAGGCAGATAATGTGGAGAGCCGGATTTTGTTTTTAAACATCTAAAGCAACAACAGGATCTGCTCAGGAGCGTGATCCAGACTGTAGCCACCTGTTTTTTACTGCAGAGCAGACTGATATGGTTGTTGTTTGAACTAATAAACAATCCATCAACAACAGCTAAAACAGGCAGATTTCCTAACTCCACACTGAACAAGCAGACTGTAAACACATCAACTAAACGCATCAAAGCTGGAGACAGATGCAGTCTGACAGATGTTCTAACTGACGTTTATTAACTACAACAGAACTGGTGGCAGACAGCGGAAATGTGACTAAAAGGTTTAAAATCTCATAAAACTAATCGGAATCTGTGAACATCTGCTTGTATGCACCAGTGAGAACACAATTTTATCTCTAAACCCGAGAAAAGGGCTGAAATTCAGATTTAGGGAAGTTGTGATCTAATATCCTGAAATCCCTTGAAGCTGGATGAGTAGCAGCCACGACCAAAGTGAACAGGTGCAGAAATCATTTAGAGATCACATGTGTCCTAAAGTCACAATTCACTGTATCTGAAGATTTCACAGAAGCAGATAAAACATTAAAACACTCTCTTTGGTACCACTCTGTCTAATGAGCCTTAAAGGGACATATTGGCCTTATTGTAGTGTTTTTGTGTTAAATTATGTAATAAACACACAGACTCAAGCAGGTTTAGGGATACATAAATGTCATCAACCACTTCACTTTCCTTTGCATAACACCACAGGGACATGATGACACTTCTGACTCCCAAAAGTATCCAATAACACCAGAAAAATCTCAACCTTAACTATTTTTTGAGGGATAAGAGTCTCTTGAGGATCTGGAATCTTGCTAAATATAGAGACACATTCACATCACTGTCTGCCAGCAAAATGCCACATTAATGGCTTTTGGCCCTTTGCTATCATGCAAATCGGTATAGCATCAGATGAGCGCCACACTGTTAAGAACCAGATCCAGACCATAATCTTGGACCACGATCCAGAACAAGGCTGTCAGAAGGAGCCATGTTAGAATAGTCTAATGTTTTCCTCTGTTTTTAGCTATGTGTGTTTTGGGTCATTGTCCTGTTGCAGGACCCGTGACCTGTGACTGAGACCATGCTTTCTGACACTGGCCAGCACCTTTCTCTCCAGATTCCCTTTATAGTCTTGAGATTTCATTGTACCCTGAT